CAATCAGAAATGTTATGTTCCTCTGAAAAATCACTGGCACTATTCAAATGGCTTCCAACAAACGTATAGTTTTTTAAATCCTCGGAAGTATATGTTCAAGGCTGACCATTCTGTGACGCTTCTCGATGAGTCGTGTTTGAATAGCTTTAACTTGAAAAGGATTCACTCCACTGCGTGCCAGGTGTTACTTTTCTTGGCTTGTTTCAGAGCAAGGTCAGATAGGAAACTCCTCTTCAGTGTATTTCCAGAGCCAAAGTGTTCTGTTCAGATAAATCCACTACAAGCAACACTTGTTGAAGGTTAATAAAATCCAGTTAAGGATGTTTTTGTATCACTTGATGAAGTCAATTACCTGCTCAAAACACAGCATGGTGCATTTAAAAAAAAAAAAACTGATCTGATTTACTTTACATGTAAATAAAACAATAGCAGACAAACTAGTGGTTGTTTTGAGCTGTAACCACTTTTCCCACACAGTTCTTTACCACTTCCCCTCATGCCTTACTCTATACACTAGCAGGGCAATGCACTCAACATTACAATTACCATCCACATACATTTGTCAGTGAAGAGATATAACCTATTGTGGAACGATGTATTTATATGCAATTTTGAATTATACTCTTGTGTTAGACTAAATAATCCCTTGAAAAAAATGCTTATCAAGTTGACCAGTGATTAGCACCCATTTCACCATCAGATAATCTTTAGAAGTTAGAGTGACATGAATACAATTCGGAGTGGTTTAAAGGTTGTCCTTCATGGCTTACATACAATTAATATGACTCTCACTTTAGAGATTAGAACCACACTAAGCAAGACTACGAGATAAGAAGCACCGGTGAAAGAAACGGAGCCGACAGGTAGTGATATATTGACCATTTAATTGCAGCAGTTAACCCAGCATTCACACTCGGCAAAACACCCTGAAATAAAAGCCGCTGGTTATTTTTTGCAGCACGTTTTGGACATTATTTTTCTGTTATTTATTAAGGTGAATAAAAAGCACTGCTGTATAAGCCACGTGTAAATAGGGAAATCTGATAAATTGATTGCAGGGGGTTTTTCTTGCTCTGCTTTTGACTTGGCTTTTGGGTTTTCATTAATATGCAAATTCAATATATGCAAACAAAAGTATACAACTGGTTCGGTTACCAGATTAAACGCATTTTGTCACCCATCATGTTGAGAATGGTTCGGTTTAGAAAACTCACCTTTAACTTTCCACTGTGGCTTTCAAGAGACTTCACAGGGCCATATCTCAGTGTTTGTGAAACCCTCTCTCTAACACCAGCATCAGATACTGTTTGATGCTGAACCACACTCTTTTGGTGTTTAGAAAAAGATGGTCTTTCTATTTAAAATCCTGTATAATATTGGAGTAGATACGTTTTTTTATTTTACTAGACTTTCTCATATTGTGTTCAAACTGTTTTTGTCTAGTCAGCTGTATTGAAATTGTTGCTCGTCTGAACAGAACTAGCTTGTGTCTCTCTGGTTTTAGTCCTACATCTTAGCAGGCGGGTGGAGGTCAGTTATTCTGTATGTCACCTATTATCATATGTTCTACTATCTGTGACTGTGCAGTTTCACTCCTCCACATACAAGCAGGATATCAGTTATTTTATTTTTTAGTATTTATTTCTGAACATCTAACACCTACCACAGGTTAGCTGACATTTAATCCTTGTATAGCTTTTTGCATGAGGGTGTTAGTGGGTATTGAGTAGGGTGTCGTGATACCAGAAAAGTATTAGTCAATACCAGTAGCAGTAAAAGGTCATTATTCTCGATCGATACCATGGTTAAAAGAAACGACAACAATAGATCCCATTTACATGAATCGGAATACCTTTATTAGTCCCACAGAGGGGAAATGTACATTGTTACAGCAGAAAAGAGCCAAAGACAGCTTGCATAAAAAAGTATTAAAGATAACAAAATTATAATAAAAAAAAGTTACACAATTTACAAAATACACATCCTGTTCTGAGGATTTAGCAGCCGGGTATATATTGCACAGTTATTAACGGCATATATGTATATTGCACATATTGCACAAATACCTTTACCCAATTATAATGTTTACAGTATAGAGCTTTAACACACCATGATGCATCTCTATGGACCATATCAGCTGAGGTTAACAAGCTTTAATTGATTTCAACACCGATTTGTTGTTTGCCGTGCACAATTATCAGGGATAAAATGGGGTGCGTCCATAACCTAACGTTGGCTGGCAGCGACCTAGCATAGAAGAATCCCTTCTTGTGACAGCCTTAGTACCGAGTGTGTCTGTATTAGGGATGGGAATGATTAATCGAATATTCGAATATTTGAAATTCTTCATGTATTGAATAGCTGCATTCTGCAAAAAAAATTCCTCAAAAATATTTTTTTTATAGGATATGTACATATCGGTTAACCGTTTTTTTGGGGGTTGAATATTCATTTGCCTTCAAATTCCCATCCCTAGTCTGTATCCATTACATCACCTCCTAGTTTACTTCCTGGCCTTATATTGTTGAAGCTTGAAGCTCTTTGGCTAGGTCTATCTCTCTGAGAGATTTCCCTCTAGACACTGATGTAAGGCTAAGTTTTGGATGGCAGTGAACAAATGGTTTTGTTCAGCAGTAAAGCTACTTTTGACACCCCCCACTCACACACTACTTTAGCGCAGGCATCTTGAACCAGTGTACTGAATGTTGAAGGACTGGCTGAGTTGTACTTAAGGTGTGACCACAGTTGATTAACAGGATTGTGTGTGGACATACTGGTATTTAGAGTCAATAATTTAAGGATTGACTATAAGTTGACGGCTGTTCATGCAACGTTAGTCCAACTGAATTTGATATAGATGTAACTAGCAATGGCATTTTGTTTTTGCAGCAATTATTTTTGACTTCCTGTAGATTTTACTCTCAAATGGATAATATAGCTTCCAATTACTGTTAATTTAACATATTTGTTGGAATACTTTTTAATTCTACATTGCTTGAGAAGGAACCTACAGTTCAATGTTATGGCTCTTTATTTCAGCTGATAGAAGTTTATATGCCAAGATGTTTTACTTCGCTCTGAATACCAAAAACAATGGAACTTTTTCCTAGTATTTTAACACTGTTAGTTGGATTCTGCTTTGAAATGTGTACACCTCATGTGTTGTCTCCCTCAGTGGAGCCTGCAGAGAGGATACAGAGAGTTTATAGAATAGAATCAGAGCGATGAAACCCCTCTTTAATGGTCACACATGCAGAGCACACAGCACACACAGTGAAATTTGTTCTCTGCATTTAACCCATCCTAGTACCAGGAGTCTAGTACTAGGAGCAGTGGGCAGCTATTGTACTGCGCCCGGGGAGCTATGGGAGTGGGGGGGATGGGGGTTGTCCGGTGCCTTGCTCAAGGGCACCACGGCAGAGCCCAGAAGGTGAACTGGGACCTCTCCAAGTAGCAGTCCACACTCCATATTTAGGTCTGTTCTGGGACTTGAACCGGCGACCCTACGGCTCACAGTCCAAGCCCCTACTGACTGAGCCACTGCCGGAGAGAAGAAGGGAGAGTGCTCTGTAGCCATGGTCCACATTAGAGACAAATCCAATACAGCAGAACTGCATTTCCTCTGCTCTCCTTTAGAAATGTCAAACACCCACACAAGCCTCTCAGGCCCTATACACCCCCCTCCCCTCTATCAAACATATACCACTCTGTTAGCAATGCTACAGGCTTCTGTGTAAATGATCTTCCTACACACACTTTGTCCTACTGTCAGGGTGCGTGAGAGTGCTCAAAGCAGGCTGAGCAATAATAGGATGCAGCTTCTACCTTTTTTCCAAATCACTATCATTGCTCTCATCCTTACCGTTAAGCCTGGCATCACTGCTGTCTTACTCCACCAAGAGCCATTCAGAGGACTTAACCACCATTTTCTCTTTTTGTATGACAGTCTGAGGATTGTGGTGTTAAGTGCATGTTGAATTCTAGACTACCTGAACTACAAGTCTCTGTAGCAGCTGACTGTGACTCAGAAAAGAAGAGGTAGTGTTTTATCTGCAGCACAAAGGGTTGGTTCCGGTTAGCAAGTTTGACACTGTATTCGTATAGCTCATACAAAAGAGCTACAATGGTGGGGCCAATTAAATATAATGAGCCGTGTGGGTTGTCAGTGCTACTGTTATCATGACATGTGGCTTTTATCAGAGCTAAAGATAATTGCAGATCAGTAAAGATTTTGCTTCACCAAAGCCTGGTTGAGATTCATGAGTCTCGAGACAAATTAAAGCAGACAACCTGAACACACTGCACCTCGACAGTAAAATCCATAAAGACCTTTATTTATCTACACCTTTTTATCGTTCCTCAAGTGGCTGATTTTACAAATACCATTTGATTATGCTAAATAAATAATGATTCAAGCATGGAATTCTTTATAGATTGTTATTTTTTTAGAGTTTTGTAGGCAGACATGTATTCTAGCGAGACTGCATTACATTACAAATGTAAATTGCTAGCCATTAGTAGCTCGTGGCCTTTTAGTGTGCTGCTCTTCACTGTTTGGGCTGCATTATCCATGCAGTATGAAATGAAGGGGCAGCTGAGCAGTGCTACGCCTAATAAAGAGTAAAAGCATTATGAACTATAACATTGTTTATGGTTTAAATCCATTTTCAGTCATTCAGCATTCAGTAGGTTTTTCAAACGTAACCCTAAATTACAGTAATTGTTACTTACTTTATTTTCTAGCTTATCACCTGTAAGATTGGGTGATTTTCTTCGTGTGGTGTCCATGTTGGATTTCATACTGACACCTATCCTACTATCTTTAATTGCATTTAAGTCTTTAACGTCAACATGGCCTTGGCATATTCATAACACACCTGCATCATCAATGTCGCATGCAGAGTACTATACTGAAGTATGTGGCTAGAGTGAAACACTGTACAGTCATTTGCTTTATTCCTAAGATTCTCTTGTTTTTCTCCCTCTTTGCTCTTCCTAAGATGTGGCTAATGGCAGTACGGGCTACAGGCCTCCTCCCAGGACGAAGGAGGTGGTAATCAACGGCCAGACAGTCAAGCTGAAGTATTGCTTCACCTGCAAAATCTTCAGACCACCACGTGCCTCTCACTGCAGCCTCTGTGACAACTGTGTGGGTGAGTGAAAGTGATATTCACTGGCTGCGAGCTTGCATGCTTGGCTGAGATGCTTGGCACCCTTTCCGTCACTGCATTTGTACTGCATTTGTTTAGAGAACTTACTAGAACAAGTGCAGACCATTTTACCATTATTACAATATACTAAACTAGGCTTTACTATAGGGATCTGCTTCTTCAGAGGAACGTACTTTGTAACTAAAGAACATGGTGCCGATAATGTCATTCTTTCACTCTTCCCCTTAAATTAAGATGTAATTGCAGGTCTTTGCATATAGTATTAAACATTTTATTATTAGAAGTCGATAGCTCTACTTAGAAAAACAAGTTTTGAGTAGCCTACTTCTTCTTCCACGGCCAATAGCAGCACTGTTAGTTAGAGAAAGGGGAAAAAGTAAAGAAAGACTGGCATACACCAGCCAAGAAGCAGACAATCACCAAGCCATAGTTATATCCAGTTAATGAAAACACCTCCTATCTATTGATGTGTATTAAAAATGGGTCCGTATAGATCTGATGAACAGATACACTGCTGCCTCACCCCCCCCCCCGCCCCAAACCTGCACATAAACATACATTTAAAATCCACACAATTCAGACAAGTCGGAAATATCGTGGTTAACCCGATTTAACAAAAACTGAGATGAGAACACAAGGCAAGACAAATGTTTAGTTTATGATGCAAATCCACCGGGAATATACAGTACATATGCTTGGAGGCATCCACATCCACACTGAGGAGAGGGAGGGAATAGTTACAAAGACAACAACAGAAAGAAAATGGCAACATAATAGCTGAGTTTTGCTGCTCTTCACAACCACATGCCCCATCTCTGGAGACAACGTGAAGAGCATAGAGGCAATGTATGAAAAGATACAGACACACAGGTCTGTATCTTTCTCATCAGGGGTTTTGTTCTCCTTCTCTGAATGTCTGTTCTCCTGTCAGAAGTGGGGCTGACAGAAAGCCAGGGAGAATAAGATGAGGAAGTAGTAAACACAGGAAACAAGATACAGATGTGGTAATCAGAGGCGGCAGATGCACGCTGGCAGGAAGGAAGACAGACTGGCAGCTGAACAAAAAGATGGGAGGGCAGTCATTTTACAAACAAAGAGTTTTTGTGCACATTTGAGGTGGGTTGTTAGATTCCAAGATGAAACTGGTAGAGCTCACTTTTTAATTTAAATCTTACTCGAACTCAAGACATCCTGCATTAAAACAGAGTAAAATAAACGAGTGACACGTATAAGCCGGTATAATTACAGCAACTGTCTTTTTAGACTTTTTCAGACCAATCATGGATACTGAACGGCGGGATAAAATGAATCCAAAATCCTTGGAGATGAGGTTTAAATAGTTTTTTTTGTGTTATGGAAGTTGAGAACCACAGATGGGAGGGAAATGAAGAAGGAGAAATAGACACACATAGTTGGACTATTGTCTCTTTTATAAAGACTTTTATCCCCTCAGCTCTCAAAGTTTTCTGGCCCTTTCCAAAGACTGTAAAGCAAGGGAAATCCTATTCATGTTTTTATTTTAACTTTGTGATAATCAGTAGCAACAAAAGAACTTGACACTTGCTCTTTACCTGGACATGTGGCTCACATTGGCAGTGAAAAAGTGGTACGAGTGCGTCCCCTGTCCCTTTACTTCTGTGTCTACCCCAGGGGCCATGTGCCAGGGGCCTATCAAGCTCTTAAATAAGTTAGCAGGCAGGATGGATAGGGCCTCCCTTTTGGAAGTGCAGCATAAGAATATGGTGGAGGCTCTTCCTTTTTAAAAGGGTTATCCCCGTGGGAGTGCTAGAAGAAGTTTATAAGAGTGCAGAATTATGACACACACATCTTCGCTTTGCCCTCCTCTTAGTTTCTCCTCACAGTATATACTGTATTAATGTCTTACATGGTCTCACTGTTGGTGTTTTGAATAGTTTTAATTTCGTCAGCTATTTTTTTTATTTAGTTTTAGTCTGAGTCCTGTGTTAAATTTCCTTTTTAGTTTTAGTCATATTTAGTCGCCTTCATCCTGTTTTTATTTAGTCAAGTTTTAGTCGACTAAAAGTCTGAGCATTTAGTTAGAAAACTCATTATTTTAGTCTACTTTTTGTCAATGAAAACTGTTGAGTCTTTTTTAGTCATCAGATTATAACATTTCAGTCAAACTAGTCCAAACCCAATAATTTGGGCCCTGTTGTTGCCATTTTATTTTCTGTTAAATAAGGTTAGTTAGACCATGAGTTAGACCCGAGTCTTCCTGACAGTTCATATTGTGCCGCTGCCCGGTGTAATTCAAATGTACCGCCGCGCGCAGCACAGACACACAGCTGCTGCCCAGCCGCAGCACCGGAAATGGAACTGCTGGGAGAAAAACTGACTATCAGAGATGTAACGTTATCTTTGATAATATTTCGTCTCCTCATTCTTCATCAACGAAAGTAAAGAGAGATTTTGGCATAGTTTTTATTTAGTAAACTACATTTTCGTCTCGTCACTTTTCGTCAACGATATTTCATGATGATTTCGTTACAGTTATTGTTTACTGCCGTCGGTGCCGTCTCGTTTTAGTCATGGGAAAAAAGGTCGTTGACGAACATATTTCGTCATAGTTTTAGTCAACGAAATGAACACTAGTTTTGAATTCCAGTTGTTGATAAATATTAGTGGTTGTGTGGGCAGAGGGTTGGGATTTTAGTGATTGATTTTTAGAGGGATTTAAGGTCTGTCTGCTGCTGCTTTTGCCCCTGATTTGCCTAATTAAAGACATTAGATGAAGATGTAATGGCACTCTTGGGGAAATATAGTGCTATGTAAGCAAACAATAAAATACAACAAAATAAAATTGGCCCATAATTAAGAATATATTAGATCATTATGAAACCTTTAGAGTTGCTTGTGCGAGCTTTTGGTTTTGCTTTGAAGCCATCACCGACGGGATGATGCTAATAAGCCTTCAGCTGACACACCTGTTATCCATTGGTTGTCTTTCTTAGCATGGTTGAAAATGAAACTCACAACAAACCTGCTTCTGTCATTTTTTAGAGTTGTTTTAGTCTTATATTTCTTGAAAATCATGGACTTATTCTTTAGAAATCCTATCATTGACACATGGAGATAAGCAGGGTAGTGGGCTAGTGCACTCATCATCAGATCAGGCGAACACCAGCTCCATCCCGCCCTGACCCCCCTCAATTGCTCCTGTGGGTATTGTCCACAGTATTGATGTATTACATATCTGATATATGAAATATGTAATATAAAGGGCTTTGAGCACTAAATACATTCATTATTATAAACACATACAGAAGAACATCTCCTAGGAGGGTTGGTCACTTAATATTTATCGCCATAGCTGCAGGCTGTGATAATCCCATTTGACCAGAGTTAGTTTTGTCCCCTTTCATCTCTTCGTCTCACAGTCACACCTCTACCAGGCTTTGATTAATGAAGACAAAAGCAGGTAATTTCACTTCACTAAACAAATAATGACTCTTAATTAATTAGTTAAGTAGCTACCGCCTTGCACAGCCAGTCGTCACTGTCAGAGATAGGATTGTGGACTGATTGAATAACAGCGCTCACAATAAGCCTTCGACGCTTTTACAATCAGTGAAAAGATAAGTGTGCTGGAGCTCTGTTTCTTTGATTGAAATACCATTAATTATCACCTGAAAGCATTTCAGATTACATTTATTTAATTCACTTCAGGTTGTATTCAAATACATATTTCAGGTACTTTGCAGCAAGTATTTCTAAATTCCAGACATTCATTTATTTACCTAAACAACTCGGATACATTCAGATGAAGAGGCTCCTCTGTTCAAACACAATAACAGCCTGTTCAGCTGCACAGTCTGTACCAAGGTGGCTGACAGCGCATCAGTGTCAACGTATCCCTCCCTGTCTGCCTGATCTTTATTGAAGGCAGTCTGAACAACACTTTTATTTGATCTTTTTTACTTCATTTTTGCTATTTCTAAATGTAGGTCTTACCGAAGACACGTTACCCTGCAAGTGCTCCTTTACCTACGTAACCTTGCAGAGTTTTCAGCCATACAGTCATGTTTGGCCTGTAACTTTTATTAGTTTGTGCAAACTGGCTATTTATATAAACTATGTGAAGAATGTGTATATTTTTGTGCCAAGACCCAGAGGGACACATCCTGATTTCCCACAGCTCCGTACTCATCGTTTGTGTTTACATGCACTGAAGTAAACCTGTTTCTATGTTGTTGTTTTTTTAAATGTCTCCCTAATGAGAAACCTGGTTTTATTAATTGGGCATTAAGGTTTTATGGATAACCCAGATTTTTAAGCCATATGTACATAAAACCGGTTTCTGGCAGGGTTCTGACTCAAGTGCATGTACATGACAAAGTCTTCAGACTGGAGAAATGTCACTGTTGGCAGTTCTTTGTAAAAAGGGAAAGACTTGTATGTGTGTGTTCTTGAATCCAAAATAAATGTTTCTTACCCTCCGTCCGTGTGTTTCTCTCTCCGTCCATGCAGAGCGTTTTGACCACCACTGTCCCTGGGTGGGGAACTGCGTGGGAAGGAGGAACTACCGTTTCTTCTACATGTTCATCCTCTCGCTCTCCTTCCTCACCATCTTCATCTTCTCCTTCGTCATCACACACATCATTTTGCGTAAGTTATCTGAGGGTAAGGGGTACAGGATATGTGCTGGTACAGACACACACACTCCTCCTGGCTCTGCTCTCGGTGTGTTACAAGCCAGCAGGTTGTAAGTGGGCGTTGTGAAAAGCTGCAGCTTTCTGGCTTTACCATCTTTCCAGCTGGGAGCAGGCGGTGGACTGTTGGGCTCCCCATCGTGTTGGTGTGTGTGTGCGCTTGTGTATCATAAATGATAGTCATTGGATCAATGTTGGACTGCTGATTAATCTTCTTTTAGTGTGTCTTTGATTGTAACCATGCTGTGTTCAGTCAGTTAGTGCTGTCAGATTTGGCTAAAACTACATTGCAGCAATTTCAATTGTTTATTTTTATATGTTTTTCCCATTGGGGCTCAGACCAAGTAACACATATCACAGTGACTACATAATCAGTTCTTGTTGTAAGATTACAGTAGACAGACAGTTCAGTTGAAGTGAAGGTAAATCCTACAGCCACATGCTATAATAGGCCTTCACTTAATTTTTGCTCTGTCCCCTGCCTCCTCCTTCATCTTCACACCAGAAGTAAAGTTGGCGGGCCGCTCTAAACGAACTACACCGTGGGTCGCATTATATCACGTGACCACAACTAAGTAGATGAGGTTTACTGTGTTTGGTGCCGTGATGTTTGATGTCACCAACAGCCTCTGTAGTCTCATTGGCCACTAGCTAGTGACTGTCTTTTTCTTCAAAATTAATAAAGGGGTTATTTATCATTGTAGTTTAGATAAAACAACATACTGACTAATTTACTGAATGTTTGACTTATTCCTGCAACAGTCTGTAGTGTTAGCAGGTGTGTGTGTGTGTGTGTGTAATGGCTAAATACATTGTAGTGGTCTAATGTAAACTCTGTCTCTCTCTCTCTCTTCACAGGCTCCCATCAAAACGGGTTTCTCAAAGCACTCAAAGATAGTCCTGCTAGATATCCTTTCACTTGGCCTTTTGGCATTTATGCTGGAATATGTGTGTGTGAAGTGTGATTGTCTGATTTTAGCTGCTGTCTGTCCATGATATCCTCTCTTTCCACAGTGGCTAGACTTAAGTGCCCAGTGAGGGCCTTTACAGGTCATTCAGTAGGTCAGAATTAATTTGCATAACGTGCCTATTCAAAGCATTCTCATTAACCGCTCCTGCCATCTTTTGCAGTTATAGTACTTACATATCGGGTGTTTGTCTGATTAGTCCTGTTCCATCAGGGTAACACAGCTCGCGAGGCAGATCCTCACTCTGGGTGTTTCTCAATCACGAGTAAAGCTGCTTCAGAGCCACTATTTCAAGCATACTACGTCATCGAGTGCCGCCAAAGTACTGTTCCAATCTCCAGCATACTTGGAAATCTACCGAGCCCGGCGTACTCCATTTGGAGAAATATCGAGTCTGCACATGAGTAGACTTCGCGGTCTTAAAATCCCCACAATGCTTTGCGCACGAACCAATTTCCCCAAATCTGTGGCGGAAGATGTAAGGCGGGGCCTCTCATATGACGCACACCTGCACACTTGCTAGCGTGTTCCACTCTTCGTTTTCCGAATGCCAGGAAGTATTCTTGCCTCGCTTCTGAAGCAAGATGCTCGGCAGACATGTGCTACCAAGCAAGCGTACTCGCGATTGAGAAACACCCTCTGTCTATTGACGCGGTGGGTCTTTGATTTCATCTGACTCTAACGTGCCCCCTCTCCCTCCACTGAGATGTCGTGAGAGTGATTTGATATGAGGGCGGGTCTGTCAGAGTGATAGGTGCCAAGTGTGTGCGAGACGTTTTAAGCTACAGCTGTTACAAATACCCTGTAAGTCAGCTTATTGTCTCAGCACGGCATCATGTGGACTGTGGTAAATCCAAGCAATTCAAATGCTTTATTTTGACATTGCAGTCAAGTTTGGCTTCACATAATTTGACCTACGATTTTTAATGCCTGGATTTACAGCTGAAGGTTGAAAGCAGTCACCTAATGCCAGACTCCAAATGTATTAACCTCTTCCCAACACACAATCCGGAGCTAAAAGGGAAATTAACTTTTCCTTTTAACCAACATCATTTGACTGTTAATGACTGAATGCAAAGGGCTTTCTGAACTTTTTTGATTCTGAATCAGGATTAAATACAGGAACTAAAAAGCAAGTTTGATAATCAGAAATGATTGAAAAATAAATGATACTCAACACTACCTCTAAGCCACAAATCAAGTGGAGAGCACAGAGCTATGCCACTTTCTCTCTCTCTGCCCTTCTCTCTATGGCTGAGTGAGATAACTGTTCCTCTGGCAGAGAAATGTGTGCCAGGCCAAGCTGATAACAGCCTGCGTCCTACAGGACTTTAATAAAGCGGACTTGCAGTCGATGCTATCGTCATCGTCCTTTGTACTCGGTGAATGATGACATGTTTTGTCCTTGCTAAGGGGAAAGAGATTGTGAAGAGAGAAAAAGAAGGGGAGGATTAAGAGCGAGAAAAGGTGGAGAGAAAGGAGATTTAGTCGATTTACAGCACCATTTTACATACTTACGGATGGTCTTTGAGTATGTTATATTATACTGACCTTATTATATGACCACAGGGAATTATTAGGATTTATTACATGGTTTAGTTGAATACTCGATTCTGATTGGTCAATTCAGAACACGTGACACGTTGTTAATCCAGAACAGACAGACCGCTGTCAAGGATTTATTGACCGTTGTTAAGGACGCTCACATCTGCACAAAGAAGTCCGTTCGATTGAACTGTATACAGTTTGGCCGAAAAGCAAACTGCATGCAGTTTGCTTTTCTAACTGACAAGACAAGAACGACAAGAAAACAGCGGAGAAGTAACGGGGCAGAAACCCTCCTTTTTACGCAGCGGTCCATACATAGACATCAAACGGCGACACATATTCAGTTGCCAGTTACTTTATTTATTACTAGCATTAGGGCAGGGATATCTAGATACTTTCCAAGGTTTGACATAATGAATTGTGCTACTTTTAAAGCAAGCAACAATGTTTTCAAATCTGTAATCAAAAAGCTCCTCAAAAATGCTATCGAAGCAGTTCCTGCCGTTCCTACGTTAGTTCAAACGGTAACAACAGACTATTTTTCTTAGCGGATTGATGTCAATTTAAATCAATACATACAACTATTTTTTAATTCAATAAAATCATTTTCTAAATCCATAAAAGCATTTCAATTACTATTGGGAGTCATATCGTTACTTTGTTGAGAATGTGGCCATGTAATAAGCGGGATAATGTGCACCTTCATGCCGATCTAGATCCCTCCGCTTTGCGTCGGGCTCCTGATCAGCCTGTCGGTGTTCTTTTCCCCATAATGACCGCGTCGCTGCACATTATCCCTTACTTATTTTAGTGACTGGGTATTTGTAGAGAGAGTGTATCCTACGATGTAGTAAAGAGCCATTTCCTTTTTCCTCATAAAGGCAGAAGCATTCATCTAGTTTGTGCGCTTTATTCGGAGCAGAGAAAATGAGCAGTGTTCTGCAGTCCCAGTCAAATGAACTGGTAACTAGGAACTGTTGGTGAGAGGGGGACAGCCCCGAGGCTGTAGGTCAATATGCTAGCTGTCCATGTAGGCTCCATATGGGTCTAATGTGTGTGAATGTGTTTATGGGCTTTCACATTGTCTGCCACAGTCTTTATTTAATCCATTCTGACATTTAGTGGCACGATCGTTCCTTGACTGAATTGTTTCACTGTGCTGGAGGTGGTGGTGTGCTTCTTCTCTGTCTGGTCCATAGTGGGCCTTTCAGGCTTCCATACCTACCTGATCAGCTCCAACCAGACCACAAATGAAGATGTGAGTAAGACAAATACATCCCCTACATTTGACTACAATTAGACCCAAGTGAAGCATGAAGCATTGCTATGTTGTTGTTGCTGGGTTTTTTCTGGTTTTGGGTTAAAGGTATTCATTTGAAATATGTATTCCATTTACAGTCCAGTATACATTACTTTTCCTAGAATTACCATTGTTGTTCTTAAAGTATTCTTAAAGCTGCATTTCATAGCTTTTTCCTAACAAATATTGTATTATATAAGCAGAATAAAAAGGGGAACATTGCTAAACAGATACTAAAGTCACCTGACAGACAGAGTTGTATTACGGTGGCTGGTTAAATAACGGTGATAATATCTTGGAGGTCATGAGTTTGACCCCATTATGGGTTAGGGTTAGGGTTTAAGGACAACACACAAACAGAATCTCTATGAACACAGGGTCTTGATTTTATTCCTTCAAGTGACTCATGAGATATTTATCTATGTTGTGTCTTCCAGATAAAAGGTTCATGGTCTTCTAAAAGAGGGAAGGATAACTATAACCCCTACAGCCATGGCAACATATTCACCAACTGCTGTGCAGCGCTGTGTGGACCCTTGCCACCGAGGTATGAGACGTGTGAATGAGTTTTTAAGAGTTGATCTATGTCTTCCCAATATGATGACATGTATGCCCTTTCATTCACAGCTCTAAGAAAACCCATTCATTCCTTTTTACCTTCATGTGTGATAGGTCACAGCACCTGTTATACCCCTCATCGCCACCACCCATTTTAATTTTGCGTTTTGTCCAAAGGCAAAATTAGAACTGTTAGTCAAGGCTCCTTTTTGATGTGCCGAGCTGCTTTGAAACGAGCCTGCCTGCAGCCTTTTTCTCTATTCATAGCCACTAAGATACAGCAAAAGTGGAAAGGATTTCAAGCCCATTTCAAACAAATCCAAGATCAAAGTTGGCTTGATATATTCAATTTCACACTGCTGCTGTTCATGTGATTTGTCAAAAAGACAGGCCAACTGTCACAGCTACATTGTCATGTCCATGTGACTGGAAATGTCAGTAAACATTCGCACATTCCCTCCCAGCTTCTTTCACTTCAGCATTTCTCATTACTCATGTGTGAAACTGTGTTTTTTTATTCTTGCAAGAGAAACTGCTCTTTCTTTTATATCATCCTAGTTAGACACATCTTCCTGCTTACCTACTGGACAGAGATACCTCCTATCAGCTCTTATCTTTACTGTCCACTGTACCCACTTTGCAGAACACTCGCAGTGACCCTGTCAAGACGTTACAAACATCTCCAGGCCTTTGGAACTTGTGGCCTTTAACTTTGCTTTGCACACGTACAAATGGGAAATTAGAGAAGCACATAATATGTGACCCGCTCTATCGAAATCAGTCGGAAGTCGCAACAGCTCATTTCAAAATAAACTTGGATTTGCGTAAAAAAATTGTTTTGTTTGATTTTAAATAAACAAAGTGTTGGCTTTCAGAATATGAAACTTTTATTTCCAAAATCACACGATAAATACATTTTTGAAGCTTGTAAAGGGAAGATGACAGCTCTCACTCGCCACTCTGCTCTTCCACAGCGCCGCTTCCCCTCCCTCCGGCTGAAATTATGAATGTAAGGCGTATAGTAATCATAGATAACACGGCAGGGTCCGTTACAGTTTGTTTTCATCTGATTTCAATTAAACAGAATATTAAACTTGTTTCGGCAAATTCAGATGATAAATACAACTTTGAAGCTTGTAACGGCATAATTACAAGCGGAGAACGGAGTAACTTGACGTCACAGCAGGCATAACAACAGCCGGTGTTTCTCGCGAGTGTTTTTACCCGGGAAACAAACACAATACACACAAATGCAAAATTACACAAACACACACACACGTATACACACACACACACACACTCACGAGCTTCCCCCAGACCAGTAATCCAAACGAAAATATCTTCCCTCCGTAGTATTTTGATCATTTGCTCCGCTAATAATCAATCAGATCGATGGATTCCAGAGAAGAGGAAACTTTGAAGGCCTTTTTCTCAAAATGTGACATATTTTGCTTAAAGGGGACCTATCATGCAAAATGCACTTTTGTACGTCTTTTACACATGAATATGTGTCCCCGGTGTTCCAGGGAACTCACCAAGTGTCAGAAAACACAACCCTCTCTCTTTTCCTCCATACCCAAATCTCTAAAAACGGGGCTGCAACGGATCTGATACAGACTGATACAGATTTGAACATTTCACTGACGTCAGGACGGTCGCGCTACGGCTATTGGGCCAACTCTCCACCTATCAGGGGAATGTGGGGTTGGGCCACGGCCGGCCATTGCCGCTCGAAAGCGCTGGAGACGCTGTAGTACATATGCCAGGCCTGTAAGTGGCGCTGTAGTCTGCCACAAAAGCAGCGAAGAAGACTTCCCGTGCATGGTTGCCATGGTTACCCTTCTGTTTATTCTCCGCTGTGGCTTTTTTTCTCCCTCCCCGAGGCAAGCGTTTGCTCCCGCTGCTTTAATTCAATGCAATCCCTCCCCGTCGAGGCAAGCACTGTAATTCTCTCCGGTTAGTCCACCAGCAGATGACAAACACCCACCTCCGCCTCTTCCAAGGAACGAGGGGACCGTGCGGCAGAGTTTCAGTTTCAGTTTCTTTCGCCGGTCAACATGTCCGTTAAAGTTTAAATCTTCCGGAGAAAATTTGAAAAGTGTAGGTCAAAGGTCTTCTTTGTTATTTATTGAGCTTTAAAACAAATGAATAATGTTATATAATCATATAAGAGTAAAACACGGAGGACGTGAGGAGATCTCTTTTTCTCCCCCTCTTCTGACAGCCCAGCAGCTGATCTCAAAGCACGCTCCCCTCTCCTGCAGGGGGGCGTGGTCAGCTGCAGCTCATTTGCATTAAAGCTACGTCACAGAATCAGCCCCCTGCAAAAACAGGGCTGGAAAGAGCAAATGGAGCGAAATGAGGCATGGCTAAAATGCAGGATCTGTTTGGTATTTTGAAAAAAAAACTATATTTATATACTTTATATAGGCATGTCCCTACAATATATTGTTCAAATATAGCATGATAGGTCCACTTTAATATTTGGAGTACAAAAGCAATCCTGATATCATTAGAAAGCTAGGAATCTCCTCTTTCCAACAGTGTATACAACTCAAAATGTGTCTTCGGGTCAATGCGACTGATTTCGATGGAGCAGGTCACATATAGTTTAGCGTACATACAGTATCTTCTTGAACAAACGCATATATATATATATATATATATATATATGCGTTTGTTCAAGAGTAGTTTTTTTTTCAAAATACCAAACAGATCTATATATATCTATATATCTATATATCGATATAGAGATATATATCTCTATCTATAGATATATATATCTCTATATATAGATATATATCTATAGATATCTATATATCTATATATAGATATATAGATATATATATATCTATCTATAGATATATATATCTCTCTATCTATAGATATAGATATATATATCTCTATCTATAGATATATATATCTCTATATATAGATATATATCTATAGATATCTATATATCTATATATAGATATATAGATATATATATATCTATCTATAGATATATATATCTCTCTATCTATAGATATAGATATATATATCTCTATCTATAGATATATATATCTCTCTATCTATAGATATAGATATATATCTGAAGTATAAGAAGTGCAGTGATGGAGCCTTTTGGCAACATTCCGGCTGTGCGGTTCTCTGGCCATAAGTCACCAATAATGATTTCAGTGGGGGGCAAAGGAGAGTCCTCAATGCACAGGTGGCTGCCATCTGGTGCGTGTGAGGCAGGCCACAGGCACTGCACAGCTGGGTCCACCACTAAGAAAGGAATGTTTCACCTAAGCCTCGGAGTATGCAGGCAATTCCGCCTCTCGCGCACACAAACGTTCACAGAGACAAAAGCCTCTTGCATTTGATTCCCTGCTGAGACCTTGACTCATGTTTTCTAATGCACCCAGCCCACATGTTTTGAGTCTCAATTCCTCGAAGCCGCATTTGCAGATGTTCCAGTATTCATTACCAGCAACACAAACCGCTGCTGTAGGTTCCCTGAGTTTGTCTCTGTGATTCCAGCAGAGCATTTTCACCAGAACCCAGCTCAGTCCCACTGGAACTCACTGTCAACACACTTCCTGTTAAATGATTACCCTGTGTGCACTGGTTAACACCTCAGCGGGCTCTGTGTGTGTGTATGGGTGAGGAAGAGACTGCACTGTGTCACATCAACCTTTATCCGGCTGATAAATTGCCAGTATTATCACATACATTTGGCCCATGAACACACACATCTGCAAAGCAAGGGTCCAGCAGGTCTTTCTCTAACCGGCTGTGTCAGAGTTCTGCCGCTTTAATGACGGGACAAACACTATTCGCTCCACTGCAGGACCTCTGTGATTTATTACCTAGTGCTCATCTTATGTGTGTCTATGTAAGTGGACTATTAGAGTTTGCAGAGGTTTGCACACAATAGTACAACACGCATCCACTTGCAAGCACTCCTCCTAACCTTCCCACCTAACACTGAGTCGACCTGAGCCTGCAGTCAGTCATTGTCATACTGTTTCGTCTGTTATAGTGGTGACAGTGCTCTACTGTGTTTAACCACACCTTTCTCCCCTCTTTGTTTCTCTCTGACTAGCCTCATTGACAGACGGGGCTTTATCCAATCAGGCATGCCGCAGCTGGCACCACCAACCAATGGCATCACCATGTATGGCGCCACCCAGTCTCAGCAGAGCCACATGGTAAGACACTGACCTGACTCTGATCTCTCATATTACTATAAGGTACGGTATAAAAGTAAAAATACTGAGTTATTACGAGTCGGAGGTTCATAGTTGTGTTTAGAGAGCAGAGGTGGGCGGGTCACTTGCTGGATGAAGTTTAAGGAATAGAAAAGTTGTTTATTAAAGTGATTGGAAACTTTGATTTCGGACTTATTAACATTTTAGTTTAGTAATAACCCTGAAGTTTTCAGTCCTGGTTGATTTGGCGAAAACACATGGGTCACCGAATCGAAGAAGACAGCTACCTTTACTTGTATTTGTCGAAAATACAACAGAGGAGCAACAGATGTGCCGAGGAGTTGAATAGCTAAGAAACATTTTTAGTAGTCCTTAGTTGCTTGGTGGATCTCCAGCTGTTGTCTTTGTTAATTTTCCAACAGCAGAAAATCAACTCTAACAAATTGAGGCCCGTGAACTAAGCCCAAGAGTCAGTTTGAGGAATTCAAAGTACAGTACGGACACAATGGCTCGTTTTATTAAGTATCTGATCGTCCTGGTAAACATTGGCTATTGGTTTAAGGCCTGGCCTTGATAACGTGGCCTAGGCAAAGAGGCTAAAGGCCGAATGATGTTTTACATTACAAAAAACAGCCTCACTTAAACCTCAACAAGCCGCAGAATCAGAAACACAGCACCCTTTTCTCTCTCTATCCTGTGTGTGTGTGTGTGTGTGTGTGTGTGTGTGTGTGTGTGTGTGTGTGTGTGTGTGTGTGTGTGTGTGTGTGTGTGTGTGTGTGTGTGTGTGTGTGTGTGTGTGTGTGTGTGTGTGTGTGTGTGTGTGTGTGTGTGTGTGTGTGTGTGTGTGTGTGTGTGTGTGTGTGTGTGTGTGTGTGTGTGTGTGTGTGTGTGTGTGTGTGTGTGTGTGTGTGTGTGTGTGTGTGTGTGTGTGTGTGTGTGTGTGTGTGTGTGTGTGTGTGTGTGTGTGTGTGTGTGTGTGTGTGTGTGTGTGTGTGTGTGTGTGTGTGTGTGTGTGTGTGTGTGTGTGTGTGTGTGTGTGTGTGTGTGTGTGTGTGTGTGTGTGTGTGTGTGTGTGTGTGTGTGTGTGTGTGTGTGTGTGTGTGTGTGTGTGTGTGTGTGTGTGTGTGTGTGTGTGGTCTGTCTTGTCTTGTCTTGTCTTGTCTTGTCTTGTCTTGTCTTGTCTTGTCTTGTCTTGTCTTGTCTTGTCTTGTCTTGTCTTGTCTTCAGAATACTGCTTGTAAGATTAAGCGTTTCCATATCAAGTCTTTGCACAGGCCCAAAATACAATGAACAGGAATCTGAGGGACATCGTGTTTAATGCATCAGACCATTTTGTACAAACTCACAATCTCACCACAGTGAGTAAACAGACATGTCCTGTGAAACTGTCGCGTGCGGTGTCAGAGAGAATAGCCATTGTCGTGAAGAGGACATTGCTGTGACCTCACTGACCAGTTTCCCTCTGGTGCCTGAAGAGGAGCAACAAGTCTACCTTTGTTCAGCTCAGCGGTTTGCCGCACACATTACATGTTAGATTTAAGCTTATACACACACGGGTACTAAACGTGTCTCACGGGTGCCCACAGTCATCTCGTTGTTCTCATCCATACTCAACTGTCATCCGTCTCCAGGTCCTGAGCCACGTGCGGACTACCTGTAATGGGCTGGAAACCATAGGGACGTTCCCTTACGTTAGCACATTCAGAAATAACTGCCTTCTGCTTTTTCTAGCGGATGAGCAGCCAGAGTTGTCCTATTGTGCCGGCTGCTGGCCATTTATCTACTCCCTGATACAGACTCAGCTGTTTCCTTAATATCCATTTGTTAAGCCTTTAAAATGCTACTTGTAACACATAAGGACTGACTATTGATGCTACTCACTTTATTGCTATGAAATATCTCTTGAAAAACCAGCTGCTCATTTCAGGGCAGCATTATATTGTGGCATCAAGTAGATTTTAGAGAGCCTGCTGATTTAGTGAAATCATTCAAACTGCAATAAAAGTGTGTGAATGTTCATGAAGTGTGTGTATAGCACGCTTAACTTTAACATACCAAAGACTCAATGGGCTGTAGCTGCGGTGGTATTAGGCCAATCACACGTTGCGTTAAGTTGAAGAATGCATGCAGTGATTGGGTGTTTCAATGCTTCTGGGTTATTTTGGTAGGTCCCTTTTTTATAAGAAAATATCAATATAGATTCCCAGCCCTACCTATTATATTGTTGACTTGTGCCTGTCAAACATAAATTATGTATTTTTATAGAACAATATTCTTTAGACACAAGGATTATTCGACTGATTAAAAGGACATTTCTGTTGCATCTTAGGTTACAGAAGGTAATTAGGAGTTACAAGAATATTGCTTTAGGAAAGAGGAGTTTATTTTGCAAGTGTAATATTTTAATTATGTCAGAAATATTTTCTATTTTAAATAAACCTGCCTAAATCTGCATTGGTAGATCTGACTGAAAGCTTGTCAGAAAATGTGTGGTGCACAGTGTTGGGCAAGTTACTTCCAAAATGTAATACAGTACATATGACTTATTACTGTATTTTTAAAGTAATAAGTTAGATTACAATATTACTGTCTGAAATGTAATGAGTTACACTACCTTTATATTACTTTTGAGTTACTTTCAGCAAAATAACCGCAAAAGAATGGCTAGGTATTTTAAATGCTAAAATGTAGTTTAGTGCAGCTCATTATACATCCAGTGAAGGGCAATGTGGTATAGCATAACAACTGCCGACCGCCTCGCTGCACATTATCCCTTACGTAAACACCAGGCTTACTAATCTACCCGCACAATTTTTCTCTGGTGTCGGAATGTCTCGCGATGTTGGTGAATAACATTTTTATTTTTTTAAAACACCACTTAATTTCGTGTTAAAATGTGTTGTAACGTGCGTTAGTGAGAATTGTAACGGGTATTATATTACCCAAATGTCATTAGTAATGCGTTACTTTTTGCTGTAACGCAGTAATGTAATACATTACTGTAACTCCGTTACTTTTGTAACGTGTTACACCCAACACTGGTGCTGCAATAATTTAGGTGAACTCGACCTTTAAACTCATGCTACACAAACTGCTTTGGCCTTGTAAATATTTCTATATTTAGCCTAGTCTTCCTTCCTTTTCTTCTTTCTCTGTGACTGCCTGGGGACTGACAACCCACAGCCTCAATTTCAGTTTCACCTCTGCTGTCAGCTGAATTAATGCGGGTACCAAACTTGGTTTATTTGTTCCCATAGGAGTTTGATACGTTAGGTATTTGTCAGTTTACCAAAGATGAAATAATACAAATGCACCAATTAAGTGCCAGCCACATGGACAATATGTCATCAGTCACAGAACACAATGTGTTGTTAGGTAAAACACAGACGGCCGCAATCTCCCATCTCGAGACGTGTTCAAACATGGAACATAAATGGTGTCCGTTTGGGGACAGTTATCTTTTATTTGTTTCAAGGTTGGGATCATCTTCCTCATGGTATGACAAATATTCAATAAAACTGTAATTGATCCTTTCACAAAAGCCTCATTAAGTTTGCAACATTGGACAAACTGACTAGAAAAAAGTACTACAACTTATCATCATTTTTATTAATTATGTTGTGTGAGAAAATTGTAAAAAATGCAAAGGCACCCCTCCCACACATAAAGATATCAGAGCCTCTACATTAAGTTGGAAAAAGGTGATTCTTCCATATTATATTTTTGACATGTTCCCACCTGTGCACAGTTCTAACATATTGGATAAAAAGAGCTCTCTTATCCTTGTTGTGTCCTCACCACCATGTGTGAAAGCATACCAAAACATGTCCTGAGCTGCTTCACTTGCTATCTGCTATCCAAGGTTAGTCCATCAGCAGTCTACGCACATATTGTTCCTTGAGTTCTGTGTGTGTGTCTGTGTGTCTCTGCCGCGGGGGATGCACAGTGCTGAGTCAGACCAGCTTTGACTGTTTATAAAACACGAGTGGGCCTGAAAGTAGAAAGAAAGGGACCACGCGCTGTTTCCACACTGATGATGTAGCTCTGCGCTAACGTGGCTTTGAGCGAGGTTTCCGTGTCATCTCAGTCCAATAACCCTCGCGCAAATTAGCCTGATCATCAACCTGGATGGAGGCCAAGCTCGTAAAAGCGATGAGTCCAGAGCAGTTGATACGTGCGGCTGATACTAGGATTGATAACACTTAAAATGACATCTCCTCTACTGTCAAAGGTAGCTTAACTTCTGTTTAAATCACAGCTGCAATCTGCTCTTTTAGGCCACTGAGATTGAGACAGAAAGGTGAGATGTCCAGGGCCGATGTTTGTGCTTGACATGTCTTGTCAGTCAGACTTTGGGAATGGCGTGTGAGGAAAGGAGGCGTTAAAGAAATGATTAATTGTCTGGCTTGTATGGCATGCAGGGATAAATGACTAAGTCTTACAGGGTTGAAGCGATTCTCCCCTCGGCTAATGTGTGGTATTGATGATTGGCCGCATCCTAACCCAGTTACTCAGCTCCAGTTTTAGACATGCAATTTCCACTAAAGCAAGGCAGTGGAGAGCGATAGGTCATGAGGCTGTGACTTCATTGTCCAGTGTTTTTTAACCGGCACAGATGCACGAGTTATTGCAGGTTCTTAGTATTGCTCCGTATTCTAACCAGGCTACTTACAACTTTTATTTTCTCTCTCTCTCTCTTATCCAATCACCTCCCCCCTCCTCTGCTGTCCCTCCGGTGTGTCATTTCTTCTTGCCTCATCCATCTAATTTCCAACACCGCCTGCTCTGTTATTCCTTTTCTATTTCTGTCTTTCACCTCCTGCATGTCTCTCTGACTTCACATCCTCTCCTGTACTCTGCTCTGCTCACTGCTTCCTCTCAGTGTGACCAAGACCAGTGCATTCAGAGCACCAAATTCGTTTTGCAGGCCGCCGCCGCCACCCCTCTCCTCCAGCAGCAGAGCAGCGAGCCAGTCATCCTGACGGCCTCGACGGAAAACGGGGGCCCTCTACCCGGCCGCACCTCCCTCAACCTGGGCGGCCCGTGCACCTCGCTCCCACTCGGCCAGCCCACTCCTCCGACGTCCACCCCCAGCCTCAGCTGCCACGAGGCCTCAGACATGTTACCAATCCACGGACACAGCCACGCACACAACCACGGCCACACCCTGCAGGAGCCAATGGCCCACCACCACTTCCTCACCCCCGAGGAGGTGCCCTCGCCCCCTGGCATGCTTCCCTGCGGCAGCCCCATGGGTCACAGCCACACTATGCAGGCCGGCTTCTACAACCCAGCCAGCCAGGACTCACTGCACGAGGACTCTGTGAGAGGATTGGTGAAGCTCAGCTCTGTCTGACACCGGGATGTTACCCCCCCCCCCCCCTCCTAACTCCTCACTCCTCAGAACCATGAAACTCTACTGTGCCACATCTGGACCCGCCCTCTCTCACTATTTTTCCTTTCTCTCCTCAGCGGGACTTGATAACGGAGAAAGGCTGTGGTTTAAATTCAGCTGCTAGAAACTGTGGAATTTAACTGAAGTGAAACCAGTGTCTTGCCAAAGCTCTCGAAACATGGAGAGATGTTTTCTAATGTGGCTCTGGTGACCTGTGACAGAAAAATGCTTTCTTTTTTTTTTACTAAAAGGGAAGCATATTCCTGGAAACTGAACGGCGGTGTTCCTTCTTCAAAGCGGCGTATGTCTGTGAGCCACGTTGAGCAAAAAAAGAACAGTACATGACATTTTTGGTCAAAATGATGAATATCTGTCAATGCATCACGTTTTTGTGACATATTTTTTTGTTGTAATACTGACTCTAACCTATTTGCCTGTTGCTGATGGACAGTGTATTTTGCCTTTTTTCTCAGCAGTGCAATGGTTGATGTCATCATGTTGCATATCATCCTGCTTTTTCTATGTTAAAAAAAGAGACTGTTGTACTGTACCATGGTTATTACAAATCTTACAAATGATTATATTTCCTGTGGACATTAATAAAACACCAACTTTTTATCAGATGCGAATGCATTGATATTAAGGTTTAGAAGGCATAATGTGTGTGAATGTCATCATAACAATTCCTCTAAAGTGAATCTTGTGACCAATGCCTCTGGTCACAAGGTGTCAATGAGAAAGATTAAAACACAAGCTTGTTGGATGAATACTGCTAAACATTTATTATTTTAAAATAATGTTTTTTTTAGACTTTTCTGTCTCCTTTTTTTCTGACTGAAGTCTTCAATGTCTCCATCCTTTAAAGAAAGGTTAAGATTAAAACAAGGACTCAATCAAGAGCTCAGTAAATGGCAGTGGTTGGTGAAAGTGCTTGGATAGTTAAAGTCAGTTAATCAATACTTAATTATCTTCCACCACCTTGTGGTTAAGTACGATTACTGCAGTTAAAAGTCTAGTTATTTTTATTTTTAACATTAAACAACATTTTACATAACTATCAGACATATGTCAGTCATCAAGTGCAGACCCTTACATTCAGACGAATGGAACTTTAAGCAGCAATAATCAATATTCATGTAAACTTTAAAAAGTTGATCCAATGGCAACATGTTATGTGAAGGGGATGTCTGTTTGAACAACACTGTGTACCTCCCTTTCAGCTCTTTTTTCCCCAGCCTGTAACTTAACTCCTGTCTCCTCTCATCCAACTAGTTTTAAATGCAACAGGTGGCTGTTTAAAGTCAAAAGGTGATTTGTTTGTCTACTTGGCTAGCATAAGAAGGTTATCAGAAAAAGTTAGCAATGTTAGCTGGAGCAGGAAGTCAAGCATTTAGCTCAAGACTGTCAAAAGACCCAGAGGAGGAGAGAAAAGCTCCTTCAAATATATCAAAGCCTTAACACTCTACAAAATAGATATTGAAATCGTATGCATCTATTGCAAGAATAGAAGTTTCTATATTTTTTTTATTTAACATTAGTAAGTAGCTTGGTTTCACTGTCTGAGTGTCTCCCGCATTTGCATCTTTATCTCGTGCACCTGGCTCAAGAAAGTACGGTGGTCACGTGAGTGCATGTGTTTGAAGCCGAATGATGCAGGGTCTGTCAATGTGAAAATAATCTTAGTGTTGTGTTTACAGCCTGTTGCGTTCCCTAGGGGCCAGTAATATTCATAAAAGGAGTTTTAACTCAAACCATTTAGACTTTAAACAGTGGATACAAATGGTAATAGTAACACATTTATTCGTTAATAAATAATTGATGATACATAGGGGTTATTATTTATACATATTTTACAACAATTACAACAGACAATGCAAAAAAACATTGACATTGGAAATAAAATATACCGTTTTTTTAAACATTGCTCATTGTAGCAATGAGTTGAGCAGTGACGGAGAGATGGACACAGATTCTACTTTATTCTACAGCTTGCATAAAGATTGCGATGGACATTTGTTTGGTTATTGAAATAGTTATATTATAACGGACCCTGTACTGTTCTGTGCTTGAGTTCTGCTACACCATTGACATGTTCAATTGATTTAAATTTCCAGTGCATGGGACCCTATCACGAGTCCTGAAGATTACAACCTTTATAGCAGACTGAATTAGAAAATAAACAATGCCCTGAGTTGGGCATGTCCTATTAAATTAAACAAGAAAATACTGATGTAAACTATTTTGAACATTTTTTTTTAAAAAGGTGATGAGAATTGTTACAAAGCTTTTATTATGTACAATAAATCAGTTTTTATTGGGCCTGGCTCCAGAAGAATGGAGCACTTCCATTTTATTCATGGTTTGTTTTTGCTGACTGTCTTAGCATTTGAAGCCAAGTGCTTATAAACATTCACATATTTCCTGTTTTAGATATACAGTGCACTATCACAGCAGAGATGCACTAGAGACGGTATAAGAAATGAACCAAGGCAAACCTAACTTGTAGCTGTAAACAGTCATGGCTCAGGCCGACGCTCCAGCACAGCTAACTCTCATGCATCAGACGTCTAGCCAGGGCTGGAAACATGGACCATCAATACTCCATGGCAGGGCCTGTCTTTATGGTCCTTGGTCACCTAAAAATGCTAGACTAGCTTAAAACCAGTGACCTGTGGTTGCTGCAAGACTTTCCTGACCTGAATCAGACCAGGGTTTGCAGTTTCCAGCCACATTGTATGGGTCATTGTGGCTAAGCTAATTTAGCATGGATAACCAGAATGGTGTCCGTAACGCTGGCTTCAGAGTGAGTCTAGAGGCCCGAGTCGGAGTCACCACAGTTTCACATCATCGAGCTCCAGGTCGCCCATGATCTCCAGTTGGTCGATGCTGCCCAGGTCCTGCACCCGATGTCTGAACTCAAACAAGTGTGAGCCGTTCACTGCCAGCTTGAACTGGTGAGGCTGACAGAGGATGAGAACCTGACCAAACCAAACACTGAGGCATTATTACAGAGCACACAGACATAGTGAGAAATGATCACTGATAGACTTCTGTTTGCGTTAACGTCCAACAGACCCGGCGCCGTGGGAGGGCCAGGCCCTCCCATTTGACATTCCTGCCCCCAAATTATTTTAATTTGTTTAATTATAAATAAACTGTGAACTTTAATGCTACGATGTATGTGATGTCAGATAGTAATATAAGAGTAATAAATGAAAAACAGGTATGAAATACTGTATGACAGTAAAACAAGAATATAGTTTAAAAGGGGAGTGATTTGTAAAATATCCATAAAGAAAAAGAAAATCTGTTTACAGTTCTGTTTCATATGGGTGTTGAGAGATGTATCTATAGATCTCTTAATGTTGCTCTCAAAGTGCACCAGATTGATGCTTTTAACTTCAATATTAAAAAAAAAATCTTCCCGGGGGAGCATGCCCCCGGACCCCCTAGAGAAGGTTAGGTCCACCCCCCACTTAAAGAAAATAGCACTTTACCCCTGCTTACACCTATATGACGTGAGCTGATTATCGAGCCAACAGTCGCGGGTGTACTGTGTATGTGCGTGTGGGGAGTGTTGCAGTAGAACATTCCACTGTAGCGCCCGGGACATTAATGGGAAACCCTACATGTTTGAGCAGCCTCTATGAAACGTCGAGCTACCCCACAGCACCCCCAAAAGAAAATCTCTGGTGCCGATACTGGCCGCGGCACATGACGGTTTTGTGTGCCCTCCCATGAAAATCATATGCCCTCTCTGTAGATTTGTTCTGGCGCCGGGTCTGACGTCCAATACAGAAGCCAAATACAATTAAACTGTATGAGTTGTAGGCAGTTCACCCCCAAGGTAATAATAGTTTAGACTGTTCAATTCCAGTCTAACTTTAGTTATTTTATCAATGCGTTTAGGTTTTTAGTTTTGTAACATAAGCTTAATATACAGTATCAGAAATACATGTTTGTGTAGGAAAAGCTGTAATGTCTAAATGTTTTGATTGAGTAGTCAACTAAAGTTTTATTTTACTGTGAAGAAAATATGTCCCCCTATATTTAATCCCATTTTTAAAACCGGGCAATTTGGTTTTAGATTTTCCATATTTTTCACTGATTTATTCTTTTTTTTGTTGTGTTGATAATAACCCTGGTTCATACCTCAAAGTATTCCCCTGACAAGAAGGGGAAGTACGGCAGCTCCCGCTCCTCCTGACCCCAGGACTCACTCAGATACGAGTTCCTGATGAATGCACCCGACTTCATGCGAGGGTTCAGATGCAGAGCGATGTTCTCTGTCCGGCTGCTGCGGAGGTTCACTGTGAAACTGGGAGAAACGGTGGATCAAAGGTAAATCTTTTTAATTCTTTATTTTGTATGTATGTGTTTGTTACCTGAAATGTGCATTAGTAGTGTGAACATATTAGTGACTAGTGAGACATGCATCAGATTGCCTGTATGACTTTACCTGTGAGGGTACATGCTGACCTGGCCTTTGATGGTGATGTGCTGCCCGGGGCTCAGTCCTTTCAGGATGCTGCCTTTGTAAGGGAGGCTCTGAAATAAAATACATTACAGTTGATACATTTTTTTATGCAGTTATTTTCATTATCGATTAATCTGCAGATTATTTTCTCAGCATTTTTCACTATAAATATATATGTGCCCCCCATTTCAGGTGACCTCTTCAATTGCCTTAGTAGTCCGAACATCTGTCCAAAACCAAAAGACATTCAGTTGAGCATCATACTGTATTATGTTTAGGGAGAAAGGGGCAATATTTAATGGAGTATAAATGATATGATCATTCCAATTCCTTACACTTTTGTGGTTATTTTCACAGTTTTTGCCATCCTTCCTACTTGTTATAATAAAATTGTACTCAAATGAATACCTTAGATCTAGGAAAGAAACACAAGTAGTCAGATTATCACCAACAACAAAAAAACGCTTTACTTTGACTTCTTCCAAATAAAGCGGTTTAGATCATTTGTGTACAACGTGTCGCACTCCCTGAGGGCTCGCATTTATTCCTAGCACACTGAACTTGTGGGCGGGTGTCCATATCTCAAAAATAAATGTAATAAACCAGGACTTTCCTTTAAAGGTCTGAGAGCTGCATACTAAAATGAACAGTATACAGTGCACAAACAAAATAATCATTTAGGAAATGTCATCCAGTGTTCATGGCATCACAAGATACTGAGCACATGGAGGTTTTATGAGAGGAAAGAACTCACCAAGTCACCTGATTCGGAAAATATTGCCTGTGAGAAAGAAGAGAAACGATTTAGAAGTCTTTGGAAATCATTAATCAGATGTATTTTTTTAAAGACACACATCTGACCAGCTTGTGAGGACAAAATTAAGCAAACAGAGAGCAGAATACACTCACTGAGTTTGGGATGTAGCCAATAGCGTGAACCCTCACATTCCCAGAAATAGAAAATGTGTCGACCCTGTTCAGGGGGATTTTGTGCTTGTACTCCAGCAGGTGAGTGCCATTTACTGCCACCTATGGGAGAAAACAGGTATTTTGGTACCCTATTTTTCTAATAATCAAATTGCCCAAATGCATACAGTAGGTACTACACAGGTTTATCGATGCCTCCATCCTTATTAGCGTGGGTTCACTGGCCTTGAAGGCGTCTTTGTGCACCAGGATGATGGTCTCGAAGGGGGCTCCGCGTTTGTAGGGCAGCTGATGGAGCGTTTCCTCTTTGCCCCAGCTCTCCCGCAGCAGGGAGTTACACACCACACAGGGCGGGCCTATGAAGCGGGGGCTGAAGTGTAGGGCCACGTCAGAGCGCGGCTTGGTGCTGCAGCCGCTCGACAGGTCCACCTGAAACCTGCAGAATGCACAGCGAGGCTGGGTTATTAGCCGGGGCCTACAAGTCCACCTCATGTCAGAGTGTAGGGCAGTCTGCACCTGTTAAGGACCTTATCAACAACGGCAGGTAAGGTTTTAAAAAGCCACTGTCGCAAGCTTTTTTTTACCCAAAAATGTACTTTATGGGCTTAGAAATTCTGTAAAACAGTAAACAAAAACTACTGCTAACAAGTGAAATGCACCAATTCTGTCAAGAGGAGTGGTCAAATATTCAACCAGAAGCTTGCCAGGAGCTTGTAGATGGCTACCAAAAGCGTCTAATTGAGGTGAAAATGGCCAAGGGACATGTTACCAAATTGTATCATTGCTGTATGTATATGTTTGACCCAGCAGATTTGATCACATTTCCAGAAGACCCATTATAAATTCATAAAAGAACCAAACTTCATGATTTTTGTTTTGTGACAAAGTAGTATGTGCTCCAATCACTCGATCACAGAAAAATAAGAGTTGTAGAAATGATTGAAAAGTCAAGACTGTCATGAAATACATGTTCTTTACAAGTGTATGTAAACTTTTGACCACAACTCTATATTGCCTCAAAAATCAATCAAATGTATGTAAATTATGCTTGATACTTAAATATGCTTTTTAGAGAGAAAAACTGCCTACATCACAGCTTTCCATAGTGTTTCGTTTATTTTGTTGTCAGCTCATTCCTTTATTTAAAAAAAATGATCAGATTGCTTATAATAAGGGGAAATATGAAAGCTTTTTATGTTAATAAGTTATTATTTATCAACTAAGATCTGTTAGAAAATGTTTCCAACTTTAACTGAAAAGTGGGCTTATTAACACATTATTAGCACTGTGATATATATAATAGAAGAAGTACAATAGAAGAAAAGCACACATTTCTGGTGTGGGGCATATTCCCTTATACTTTTTGAATTAGATTGGACACCCCTGCCCTACAGCAACAGGAGATAATAATTTGTAATGCAGCACATTTCTTATCTGCTTGTGTCTGTTTCTCAAAACAAGGGTTGTGCAGACCGCCATCTGCTGTACACTGACTATAGTTAAAGTGGACCTATCATGCTATATTTTAATAATATAGTGTAGGACCATACCTATATAAGGCATATTTATACTTTTTTTTTTTCAAAATACCAAACAGATCATGCATTTTAGCCATGCCTCATTTTGCTCAATTTGACATTTTTTTGCTCTGGATTTGCAAGGGCAGATTCAGTGAGAACAGCACCATCTACTGGCCTGGCATATGTACTACAGCGTCTCCAGCGCTTTCGAACGGCAATGGCCGTGGCTGTCTCCTCCTGATTGGTGGAGTTGGCCCAATAGCCGTAGCGCCACTGTCCTGACGTCAGGACAGTGTTCAAATCTGGATCAGTTTTTATCAGATCCGTTGCAGCCCCTTTTTTTTAGAGATTTGGGTATGGAGGAAAATAGAGAGGGTTGTGTTTTCTGACACTTGGTGAGTTCCCTGGAACACCGGGGACACATATTCATGTATAAAAGACGTACAAGTGCATTTTGCATGATAGGTCCCCTTTAAATTCCATATAAAATCCCACCTCAAAATATCCAAACTATGACTTTTAGTTTCAACACGCCATTCTATAGCCTAACTTGACCTCTGACCTCCAGGTGTCCTGTCAGCTAAACTTAACCCTTACATCATTTGTAGTTATCACAATAAATAAAATAAAAAAGCCGCTAGATTTGTTCATTACAATCTTTTATACTACATTATTTTTCACTGACTAAAAAACAAGCAAACATTAACATTAAACATTTAACCAAGTGTGTACTTATCTATCTGCAAAACTGCACACGATTGATGTGGGTTGTTTTTGTTGATGTGATTGAGAATCAACAAGTGGGTTAATATTGAAGATACAAAGGTTGTATTTGTTTGAAGACTTGAATTCAATTTACATTTGACAGTGTTTGTGGGGGTGCCATGAAAAGAAAATATCTTATCTGTGCAATGGTTTAAAAAAGTATGAGGACCACTGAATAAAACATTTTTCCAGATTAATTTAAAATCACATGCTTCGATTTAACACATCTCAGACATATCCATTAAGGTGGCACTTCTCTGTGTGTTTTTCTTATTGAATTACACCTTACCTGTCAGCCTCTGGGGGCACAGTGCCCTGGATGATGATGATCTCCCCAGGGTGCAGGCCTCCAGGTATGGGCCCCGTGTATGGGATCACCTGAGGTGGAGAATTGGCGTTACATCGCTGGATAACTGCACTTAGCACATACTGCTTAAACCACTGCGATAGTTAGCATTAGCCGTCAGATATCGCGGATCAGTTTACGTCCAGTGTGCAGGCCGTTTACACACAGCTGCTGCACAGTGTATATATATCAGTCTACATAAGGCTCTATTGATCAGTGCATGATGGCATTAGGGCTGCCTGGTGTGGATAATATTAATAATAATAATAACAACAATAATCCCCTTACCGGATTCAGGACAGTGTGTTTCGCGTTTGCCACAGACATCGAGCCTCTTGAGTCAGACTAACATGCAGCTGAACGAACGAGCAGTGTGTGTGCTGTCTGCGGTCTGTAGCTCTCCTGCACTACACCATGGATGTATAATAAGAACCACTACACGGGGATGATGGCAGTGGGCATCTTCTCTCCATCTGCCCGGAACAGTACGCGCATGCGCAGAACCTACCATGTGATCAGGCCCACTGTGACTCTATTATACATCCATGGTGTGACTGCGTTAAATCTTAAACTTAGTAAAACCTTTATTTCACTCAATAAAATGCATTATAATTATGCCGTCTTCTCTCAGGCAAATACAATGTTTTAAAAGAGATGGCAAAAGTACACACATCCTCAAGTAGAAGTACAGATACTCCTGTTTAAAAATACTCTGGTAAAAGTAGAAGTCCTACTGACTAAACTTCTTTACTCAAGTAAAAGTAAAAAAGTATGGGCTTCGAAATGTACTTAAAGTACAAAATGTAAAAATACTCAGTATGCAAATTGGCCATTTCAGAATCATTTATATTATATCTTTTGATTATAATTATTGATGCATTAAAGTGTGCACCTAGTCACTTTGTATACTGCAGGGTAGCTTGTGAATTTACTCCAGAAGTAACTAGAGGTATAAAATAAATGTATTGGCGTGTGGTGTAGAGGGTTGTGCGTTGGTGTTCGGATCAGGGGGTCACAGGTTCAATCCCTACTGCAGTCAGCATGACATTGTGTCCCTGGGCAAGACACTTCACCCCAAATTGCTCCTGTGGGAATTGTCCACAGTATTGAGTATGTAAGTCGCTTTGGATAAAAGCGTCTAACAAGTGACATGTAATGTATTGGAGTAAAAGTACACAATTTACCTCTGAATCGTTGTTGGGTATAGTACAAAGTAGCATAAAATGGAAATACTCAAATAAAGTACAAGTATCTCAAAGTTGTACTTAAGTACAGTACTTAATTAAATGTACTTAGTTACTTCCCACCTCTGGTAATCATAAACAACGTATTTTCCACAAACACAACATAAAGGGATTTTCAACTGAGGAAGCTTTGCTGCTGCTGGTAAACAGCGCCCTCCACTGATGAGAGGTCAGTATCACATCAAAGTGAATTATTGTCGTTATTGCTTATTGTCGTTCATAATAAAAATCAGGCGATGGTCACATAAAGAATTGTGTATTTGGTGTGCCTCGACTTAAATATAAAATGTAATTCGACTCCCTTTTTAATTGCATTAAACTATTGATGTGTAAATAAACGGTGAAGACATTTTATCCACAAAGCAGGCAGACCTAAACTGGGTTATAATTTCTCAACGGTGCCTGTCTTTTGTTTTCCTCCTGGTGCTCTAAATACAGTGAGAAGAAATGTTATTTTATTCATTAACGACAAGGAATGTGTGACGCCCTCTGCTGTACAACATCCATACGTTTCATTTCCCAAGAAGAGAAACCTAAGCCTTATACAGCAGAGTTTTACTTCTCAGGAAATGAAAGCTACACAGGCTATATAAACCCGGTGCAGTTCAAGGCTCATCACAGGTGTGGCTGGCGTCGGAGCAACCATTGGATGGATAACTGCAATCCTCATCTGAGAAATTATGAAGGAACAGGATGAATATGTGTACTTTGCCAAATGAAGGAGGAAAGTACAATTGACAGGACTTTCACTGGCTAAACAGCACTTTTGTCATCAATACAAAATGGTCTTCCATTAAACATACGTGTTCAGTGTGTCGCCTGTGCATCTTTCCATTCAGTGTTATGTTCTTTTTTTTTTTTTTTTAATTAGCATTCTTTTTTCTTGCCACACTTAAGTCGGGCTGTAAAACCAAGCTGTAAGATGTTACTTAGCTGATGATGAGGCAATGCAGGTTTATTTATATCGCACCTTTCAACACAAGGCAATTCAAAGTGCTTTACAAAGAATTAAAGACATTAAAATAGAAACACATTTTAAAATGGCATAATAACTGAATGCTGCTTCTCCGTGTTCTGACTCTGGGGACAGAAAGCAGACCAGTCCCAGAAGACCTGAGAGTTCTGGATGGTTCATAATTTAGCAGCAGATCAGAAATGTATGTTGGCCCTAAACCATTCAATGCTTTATAAACCAGCAGCAGTATTTTTTAATTGATTCTTTGACAGACAGGAGGTCTTTATAGTGTAAAGACTTCAGAACAGGAGTGATGTGATCCACTTTCTTAGTGTTAGTGAGGACTCGAGCAGCAGCGTTCTGAATTAGCTGCAGCTTTTTAATAGATTTTTTAGTGAGACATGTAAAGACACCATTACAGTAGTCGAGTCTACTGAAGATAAAAGCATGGACAAGTTTTCCAAATCCTGCTGTGACATTAGTCTTTTAATCCATATATTCTTAAAGTGATAGTATGCTGACTTAGTAATAGTTTTAATGCAACTATTTAAATGCAAGTCAGAGTCCATGACTACATCTAGATTTCTGGCTTCTTCTGTTGTTTTGAATATTGCCTAATGAAGCTCAGCTCTGACTTGTCTCCAAAAACAATTACCTCAGTTTTGTCTTTTTCTGATGAAAGAAAGTTCTGACACATCCAGTCATTGATTTGATCATTGAGGGGAGCTAAATAGTTGGGACATTAACCTGTGGTTTCATATGTGCCACTCAGAGTTTTATCACATTGGCTTTTCTCATTATACACCAACAAAATACAGGATAAGTCAGGTAGGTGTTTCACCCAAGTCTCCTATAGGTATCTCATAAAAAAAACCTGCCCATTAAAATCTGCCCATTAAAATCTGACCACGTCCACAATAAGACCTCTCCCTAAAAAAATAAAACAGGAATCACGGGATCATCCTATAGTTTTTTTAAGACATTTTCTAAAGTATCCATCTGTTACAGTTGGTAAGGCAGCCTAGACACTTATTTAGAAGCATAAAAACATGCAACAGCAGCACATTGTCAACAGTCCTCAACAATGCTCTCCAAGCCCAAGGGTTGAATGACTTCGGGACATGACAAAAAGGGCAGGTCAAATGATATCACAATCACCCAGCTCACTAATGTAAGACCATCCATTAGTTGTTAAAATATTCAGTTTGGTATTTTTGTATGAATTCAGACTATATCATTTAATTATCTCTTAATTTTCATTTTAATAAACTATTTGTGTACAGGAAAATAAATGGTGGAGACATTTTGTCCTCAAAGCAGGCAGACCTAAACTGGTTAAGCATCTCTTTAGTGTTGTGTCTTTTGTCTTCTGAGTTGACGTTGGTTACATAGAGACAAGGAATCTGTGAGCACTCTTTAGCTCCAAGGAGGAAAGTTTAATTTCTTAAGAAACAAAACCTAAAACTCACATAGACCCCAGTCCACTTCTAATCTGGTTATAATCGTGTGGTTTTAACGGTTGTATCTTAATAATAAACTGGATAAAGATGTCTCATAAGAAAGATGTATATAAAATAATTATCTAAATGAAAAAAAAACTGCATTCTTGTATTTATAACCTGCGACCCAATAACTCAAACTCATTGCATTGTAAACCACCCTGGACAAGTAGGGCGCACCTCTTTTTATTGGACTAAGTCCTTTTTCTTTTTTGAAAAGTCTACTGAGTTTCAATAGCTTCAATCATGTGACCCAATAACTTCAAAGCAATCCAGCAATGTATTCATACACTGGACAAGTATAGGCCACACCTCTTTTCTTTTCATTTCAGTGCTCTTTCTATCTTAAAGGGGACCTATCATGCAAAATGCACTTTTGTACGTCTTTTATACATGAATATGTGTCCCCGGTGTTCCAGGGAACTCACCAAGTGTCAGAAAACACAACCCTCTCTATTTTCCTCCATACCCAAATCTCTAAAAAAGGGGCTGCAACGGATTTGATAAAAACTGATCCAGATTTGAACACTGTCCTGACGTCAGGACGGTGGCGCTACGGCTATTGGGCCAACTCCACCAATCAGGAGGAGACAGCCACGGCCATTGCCATTCGAAAGCGCTGGAGACGCTGTAGTACATATGCCAGGCCAGTAGATGGTGCTGTTCTGCCCTTATCTGCCCTTACACAAACAGAGCTAAAACATTTCACTATGAGGGACCGGTGAGCGGAGCAAAACACACCTTTAGACATCACCTAACACATTTAGCTATGGCACTGTCGTATACATTGAATTATTCAATTTGATAATATGTAATCAACTTAATTAAAAATTAATAAAAATATTCATAACTCATATTCGAATACCTGAATAATTTCAAATATTCGATTAATCGTTCCCATCCCTACTGTAAACAGATGTACTTTTTCTTTATGGATATTTTACTAATCACTCCCCTTTTAAACTCTATTCTTGTTTTACTGCCATATAGTATTTCATAACTGTTTTTCCTTTATTCTCTTTATTTTTTTTATAACTATAATGATCATATAAACGTGTGCCGCGGAAATAATCTTTTGAATCATTTGTGACCAAACCATTTGGTCTGAGATAACTTAGACTAACTAGATAACTAGACCTGTCCTGGTTCTGCTGTTACGGAGGCCTGCTCCCACCTGTCGTGTGTTCCAGTGTCGTGTGCTGCTTGCTGAGGAGACCTCTTATCCCGGGGATACCACGGAGGGACCGGTGCGCTTCCTCGCTGCTGCTTTCGCCTGTCCTTTGCTGCTGTTGAGGAGGAGGATTTTTTTTGCCCCGGGAACATCGCGGATATTGTGTGCTGGTCTGGGAGGATGGCCCATATCGTGATTCTGCTGTGCCTGTTAACTGTTCTGGACTATGAGAAGATCTCTAGTCATCCTGAGAAGCCTACTGGATTCAGGTATGTTCTGCCACCCGCAGTAGGCATCCCCTGCAAAGGGTCGGATGTGTTACACAAACAGTTACCGGTCACCTTGTCACAGACAATCTGCTCGACAAAATATGTTTGTCTTTTTTGTTTGCCTGCGATGATGGTACTTCAGGACTGCTTCTTAAGCTCAAATCACACTCTCGCAGACTTTTCCGGTGATTCTAAAATAGATGACAATGTGTGTGTGTCGATTAAGAGGAAAAGATGCCTGTTTTTTTTGTTATTATTACTGTCAGGAAATGTTCAACCTAACCCTGGTCCGCCCAGTAGTAGTAGTCAGATCGCTACTCCTGCTGATTTTAAAGCTAGGTCTGGGTTGGGTTTCATCCACTTGAATGTGCG